CAGACATGGAAAGCCAAGACACTGCCCCGCCCCCAAAAATGACCTAAATGAAAGATCTCTGTGAGTGAGATCTTAGCGGAAAGAACAGGTCATCAAAAAAGGAGGTAACTTTCTCTGAAGGGAGGAGAGAACCTCCACCTTGATTATGGCCTTGTCTATCTGTAAGGATCCCATAGATTGGCTCAGTCCACTTTAAGGTGTTTTCCAAGGTAGTCAAAGTAGAGGAAAGATCATGGAAGGTCATACATGGAATATAACTTGCAGATCTCCCTGTCACTTTTACTCAGATCCATTGGTCCTAATTTATTCATGTGCCACAAGTAACCAAAAAGGAAATTGAGTAATGTGGTCTACTTTGCCTCAGAGAAAGCGAAAATGAATTTGGTGAAAATCTAACCAGTCTTCTCCATAGAAACCAACTCCATGTATAACTTATAAGGAACAATATTTAATAAAATGTGATGGGATACAAGAAAGGAGTCAAAGTTTGATAAGCTTTTAATATGAGAAATGATGTAGATGGATATGTATCTATGAGAGCTGGGGAATATAGGCGAAATAAGAGTGGAAGTGACTACTGAAAAATAAACATGAATTGCATTTTACTGTATGGTTTTAAAAATACCTTACAGGTGGGTGTTTTAGCCCATGATAAAGATTCCACGTAAGGTGCTTGTGTCCCACAAAGGAGCAAATGGGTTCAATTATTGGCTCTGTCTCTTTTTTTTTGTTGTTGTTTTTTAAAAATGTGTCTATCCATTTGAAAGTCAGAGTTACACAGAGAGAGAGGAGAGCCAGAGAGAGAGAGAGGTCTTCCACCTGATGGCCCAGTCCCCAATTGGCCACAAGGGCCAGAGCTGCGCCGATCCAAAGCCAGGAGCCAGGAGCTTCCTCCTGGTCTCCCACGTGGGTGCAGGGGCCTAAGGACTTGGGCCATCTTCCACTGCTATCCTAAGCCATAGCAGAGAGCTGGATCAGAAGAGGAGCAGCTGGGACTAGAACCGGTGCCCATATGGGATGCTGGTGCTTCAGGCCAGGACGTTAACCCACTGCATCACACTGTCAGCCCTTGGCTCTGTCTATTGATTTCAGCTTACTGCTACTGATTCTAGGGGAAGGTGATGATAACTAAAGGAATTGGATTCCTGCCACCCACTTGGGCAACTTAGGTTGAGTTCCTGATTTCCCAGTTTCAATTGTGAACCAACTTAGCCACTGGGGAGAAACCAGTAGATGGAATATCTCTTTCTCTTTTGCTATGTGTTAACATATATAAGGATGTATTAAACACATAAGAATGCATATATTTATATATATATATGTATTTATCATATGTTTTAGAAATACGAGATATATTAGGACCAAAGATATAACCTAGAGGGGCCAGTGCTGTGGTGTAGCGGGTAAAGCAACCACCTACAGTGTGGGCATCCCATATGGGCACTAGTTCGAGTCCTGGCTGCTCCACTTCTGACCCAGCTCTCTGCTATGGCTTGGGAGAGCAGTAGAAGATGGCCTAAGTGCTTGGACCTTCTGTACCCACGTGGGAGACCTGGAAGAAGCTCTTGGCTACTGACTTCAGATCGGCGCAGCTCCAACCGTTGTGGCCAATTGGGAAGTAAATCAGTGGGTAGAAGACCTCTCTCTCTCTGCCTTTCCTCTGTGTAACTCTGACTTCAAGTAAATAAAGAAATCTTTAAAAAAAAAAGAGATATAACCTAGAAATGTATCTTTTAGATGCTTCACCATATAAAGGGTGGTAAAGATTATGAAATTGATGTAGGACAGTGCCTAATTAGACAAAGAGAGCTATAAACAGAAAAAGCATTGTGTGTAACATCTGTCTTAGCACAAAGCAAGGAGACACAGAGATGAGTAATATTATTTGCCTTCAAGAAGCTCACAGTTGGGTGGAAACAGTCAAGGAAATTATTAATTACCTGATGTGTAATAAAAACTATAAAATATTCACACTATGACATGGGAACACATAGTAAGGGCAACAATTTCAATAAATATATTGACTGAATAAATGATTTATACAAATACACCACACAAACAAGCTTACTATTCCTCAGTGGTTTCTCTCACATTTCTCACCCACATGACATATTATCCTTTATCTAAAGAGAATTAGGCTTTTGCATCAATTATACACATGTGTCTTTATTAAATGTTTACTTTGTAGAAACTGCCACTTTATAAATGTGCTTGTTCTCATTCAAGTCTCAAACAAAAATATCCAACATGGATTACTATTTTCATTAAATTGCCAAAATATATGTATTATTTCTAAACATAGAAATGAAAACTGGGGCAACAAAGATTAGCTGACTTGCTACTGGAAATCCAGGTCTGCCACACTATATATGTCACTATAGTATCTACTTCTCTTTTTTGTTTTTACAAAGTTACTAGAAATAGCAAATCATTTGCTCATCAGTTACCTGCTAATTAATAAAAAGTGAAATATGCCATGGATTTTAATAGATAGCTATTATTCTAAGAAAACTAGGAAAATGCTACCAGCATTTGTTAGTTGCCCAGCATAGAAGCACTAGTGGATAACTGCTGTTATGCAAAATTTTGGAAAATTTACTGTAAACTGATAAAACGAAAGATTTTTAAAAAGTAATACATTTTTAATTCTTACATATACAAATAATGCATTTAAAGATAAATTTTGCTTGATATTATTTATATATTAGTAAGTAAGCAATTATAGTGACATTTATCTTTGTCTATATATGAAACACTTAAAATTGATACAAACTGTATAAAGGATTTTTATATATTTTTAATATTTCATTTATCTTTCAAATTTCCTACTACTATTAGTCTTACAACTAATATATATCAATGCTATATACTTTATTTTATTATTCTAAAAAATTTTATTTATTTATTTGGAAGTAACAGTTACGAGAGAGAGAGAGAGAGAGAAAGAGAAATTCCATCTGCTGGTTCACTCCCCAGATGGCCGCCATAGCTGGAGCTATGCCAATCTGAAGTCAGGAGCCATGAGCTTCCTCCGGGTCTCCCACGTAGATGCAGAGCCCAAGAACTTGGACCATCTTCTACTGCTTCCCCAGGCCATAGCAGAGAGCTGGATCTGAAGTGGAGCAGCCAGCACTGGAACCATTTTCCATATGGAATGCCGACAACGCAGGTGGAGGATTTACCTGCTAGGTCACAGAGCCAGCCCCGCTATATATTTTACGATCATGATTAGGTAGTCAAATATATTTTTTCTTGCTTCATTCCCCCCATCTTCATCTTTCTTTCTCTGCCTCAGTTTCCTGTCTCTGTCTCTCTCTCCCCTCACCTCCATTTATGACAGGCCTCCACATATGACAGGCTTCTAAAAGTTCATGGAAAATGCATATTATCTTGTAGTTACATTTTCCCCACAATTTTTTAAAGCTCTCTCATAGGCCAAAAAAAAAAAAAAAAAAAGGGAGTGGGGGAAAAGCACATCAAAAGTAAATTCAAAAAATCAGGGCCTCTTCGCTTCGCGCAGGGGACGGGGACGGCGTGGCGGTGCCTGGCTAGGGCGTAGGCGAGAACGAGAGCGCGAGCGTGAGGCGGCTCCTTGCAGACTGAGTGCGCCCGGCTGTCATCATGAGTGATCAGGCTTTGAGCTTCCTCAAGGACTTCCTGGCAGGTGGCGTCGCCGCTGCCGTCTCCAAGACTGCGGTCGCCCCCATCGAGAGGGTCAAACTGCTGCTGCAGGTCCAGCATGCCAGCAAACAGATCAGCGCTGAGAAGCAGTACAAAGGGATCATTGATTGTGTGGTGAGGATCCCCAAGGAGCAGGGCTTTCTCTCCTTCTGGAGGGGTAACCTGGCCAACGTGATCCGGTACTTCCCCACCCAAGCTCTCAACTTCGCCTTCAAGGACAAGTACAAGCAGATCTTCTTGGGGGGCGTGGATCGGCATAAGCAGTTCTGGCGCTACTTCGCTGGTAACCTGGCCTCCGGTGGGGCAGCTGGGGCCACCTCCCTCTGCTTTGTCTACCCGCTGGACTTTGCCAGGACCAGGTTGGCTGCCGACGTGGGCAAGGGTGCCGCCCAGCGTGAGTTCAGTGGTCTGGGCAACTGTCTCACCAAGATCTTCAAGTCTGATGGCCTGAGGGGTCTCTACCAGGGTTTCAATGTCTCTGTGCAAGGCATCATTATCTACAGAGCTGCCTACTTCGGAGTCTATGATACTGCCAAGGGGATGTTGCCTGACCCCAAGAACGTGCACATTATCGTGAGCTGGATGATCGCCCAGACTGTGACGGCAGTGGCCGGGCTGGTGTCCTACCCCTTTGACACTGTTCGTCGTAGGATGATGATGCAGTCTGGCCGGAAAGGGGCTGACATTATGTACACGGGGACAGTTGACTGCTGGAAGAAGATTGCAAAAGATGAAGGAGCCAAGGCTTTCTTCAAAGGTGCCTGGTCCAATGTGTTGAGAGGCATGGGTGGCGCTTTTGTATTGGTGTTGTATGATGAGATCAAAAAATATGTCTAATGCAATCGAAAATCAAGTTCATTGATTCACAGGGGACTTGGATCACCAGTTCACAGATCCATTATGTGGTTTAATAGACAATTCTGGGGGGAAGTAAAAAGATCTGAAATACCAGATTGAAAGGAATACCTCAGAAAAAAAAATGCTTCATTAAGTGTTCGTTGAACCACAATGTATTTTGTATTTATTTTACATTTGAATCCCCACAGCAAATAGAAAATAACTTATCATACTTGTATGATTGTCTGAAGAATTAATAATGAATAACTGAATGTAAAACATCAATAAAGATCACTTAATGCAAAAAAAAAAAAAAATCATACAATCTCCAAGGAAGGGAATAAGAACATTTCATTTATATACTACAGTTCATATTTTCTGATTTTTATAAGAGAATATATGATACAATGGAAATACCTTTATTTTTAAAAGGAGAAAATCAGATTTTTTAATAAAGTAAACAGGAAAAATAATTAAATATACAAAAGCAGTACTGAAAATAATCAAAACACACAGTGTCTTTATAAAAGAGAGCAGTAGGGACAGAAATTCATGCAAAGGTTGTCAGAGAAACAGAAAATAGTTCATGAATTGTGATACTCAGAAAGGAATACAAGCAATGCCTTTCCAATATTTCTGCAATAAAAGAAATCAATTTTAATTGATCTTGGGCATCAGGTTACATAAAGAAACTTTGGGGGATGGTAAATTAATTAAAATTAAATTTTGAAAATTACAGATATTTTCACTACCATTTATATTTCTAGAAGACTTATACAGACATCCATCTTGTGATGTAAAGTATTTCTTCTTTCAGAATATAATCTTAGAGCATTTCATCTAGAAATAACAGCCATACTTTAAGATGATCATAGGATGTGATGTGGCTTTGATTCATTTTGTAATTGCAGGAGGAAAGCCTATATTTGTTTTCACAACTGCAACATTTGTTTTAGCTTCTTGTAACCTTTCACAGGCTTTCTGAAAGGAAATCATATCCAGAACAAACTTTTCTTCACAGTGTCTTTTATGTATTTCTTCAGCCCTAAGTGGAAAAAAAGGAAGGTAACACTATGAGAATTGTTGAAATTACCAAACCCATCGCAAACAGATCATTAATCCTTACAACGAGATGTCTTCAAAATAGACATATTCACAGGGATCAATGTTGTGGCATAGCAGGTAAAGCCACCCCCTGGGATACCAACATCCTAATATGTGGGCTGCTTCAGGTCCCAGCTGCTCCCCTTCTGATGCAGTTCCCTGCTAATGGCCTGGGAAAAGCAAAGGAAGACAGTCCAAGTGTTTGGGACCCTGTCACCCATGTGTGGGAGACCTGGATGAGCTCCTGACTCCTGGCCTCAGCACGGCCCAGCACTGGCCGCTGCAGCCATCTGGGGAACGATCCAGCACATGCAGGATTTCTCTCTCTCTCTCTCTCTCTCTCTCTTTCTCTCTCTCTCTCTCTCAAACTCTGCCTTTCAAACACATAAATAAATAAATCTTTTTTAAAAGAGATATACAAATAAAGAAGTACAGACCTCCATTTATAAAATTTTGTTATATTACCAAATCATATTCATGTTTTGCTAATATTTATATGATTTCTATTAGCTTAAAACCAAGAATTTTCACAAATGGCAGCCTAGATTCCCAGAGGCATCTAAATCAGCCTATGTCATGATTTGCTGAATGTCTATTTAAAGCTCATAAATCCAAGTTGTTTTTGGACTCGGTAAGCAACTGAAAGTATTCCTCCAAAACTCATATGTTAAAGTCCCAGGTTCCAATACCTTAGAATATGACTGTATTTGGAGATAAGGCCTGGATGAGATAATTAGAGTTAAATGAGGTCATAGGGAGCAGCCCTAATTCAATACGATTAGTGTTCCTTTGCGAGGAGGAAGAGACAGCAGGGATTTGAGTGTGCAGAAGAAAGGTCCTGAGAGGACATAGAGAAAAGATGGCATCTGCAAGCCAAGAGAAGCCTTAAGAGAATCCAATCCTGGCTACACATTGATCTTGGACCTCCTGCATCTAGGACTGGGAGGGAATAACTTTCTGTTGTTTAAGTCACCTCGCTCATGCTATTATTTTACAGAAATATTAGGAGATTAATACAAACTCTTCAAGGAAAATTGCATCAGGTTAATCTCAAAGCTGACAAATGTCAGAGGCCATAGGAGATTTCATCCGTTCATCCCCAATCCTTCAATGGTTATATACTATAATGCCTAGAATTATCTCTCATTGTTGGAAGCATAAAGATGTATATGACACGATATGCTTATAGAAATGAGAAGCATAAGGAAAGTTAAATAATGGTACATGAGTATATAAATGAAATATTATAGTACCATATGGAAGGGTTATGTAACAAAACAGAGAGAAGGACTCTTGGTAAATATAATTTGGAGAACAAGGAGATGGCAGAGAAACAAGGGTTCAGAGTGGAATAACCCTCTTAATGAGTCCTCAAAGATGTTGTTTTCCAGGCAGAATGTAGGCAGAAGAGTATTTTGTTGGAACTATTTTATACAGTATAAGCAACAAAAATAAAGGTAGAGAGATTGGCATGCTGCAAGAACTGGCATCATTCTCATTGACTGGGTCACAGTTCTGGGAAGAGACGAGCAGACGAACCTGGAGAAATATTTATATGTAGGTGCATTCAGACATCTGTAATTGGGAGTAGAACAGAGGCTTACATATAGGAAATCTCCAACTTAGTGGCTGTAAATTGGGGCAAGTTAGTTTCTCCTTACCTCCTTTTGTTGATATGTACAAGAGAACAATCCAAGACACAGTGTTTAGTAAAGGACTACATGAGTTAACACATTAAACATATTTAGAGGGGTGCTTGCCATGTCATAATAATTCTTACTGGATGACTAATAGCTGCATTTCATAAGAACAGGGAATGTAGGAAAAGGGATGAGGGAAAGCCTAGAGTTTTATTTTCGTTATGTGGAGCTAAAGGAGCCTGGATATCAATATGGTGATGCCCAGATAGTTGAATACAGAGAAGCAATGGGTTGTGGTTAAGTATAGGTAATAAAGCTATTCTGCTTGAGTTTGAAACTCGGTTCTGAAATTTACTGACTCTATGATTTTAGACATGTCATTTAAACTCTCTATAGAACTTTTTTTTTAAAAAAAATCTTTATGAAGAGTATAATCAAACTCATAGGGCATAGTCAGAAGTACATGAGCTAATAAATTCAAAATACTTAGAGGAGTTTCTAGCATTCAATAATCACTCTGTGAAAGGTTCTACTGTTGAGTCTAGAGTCCAGCAGAACAAACTAAAGCAGATATAAATAAATGTAGAGGTATACAATGTTCAAGTGTTTCAAGATAATATTATTAAGATGTCAGTTCTCCCCTGATTGACACATACAGTCAATGTAATTCCAATTAATATGCCAAGAGCTTTTTTGGTAGAAAATTACACTTAAATTTATATTAAATATGTATTATATTTAATTTGGCTTTTAAAATTTATTAAATGTAAATGTTTGAATTTATTAAAATTTATATTCAAATGGAAATTCAAAGATACTGGAATGACCAAAGCAATCCGGGCAAAGGAGAACAAAATTGGGATCTCTGTTTTCCAATGTAAGAAATGCCATACTTGTAATGATTTTCAATCATAATCTTATATTATCTTAAGATTTCCAGGGATCAGAAGTCTGGACACAGTGGGGCTCAGTTGTATCTTCTGCATAGTTTCTCACAAGGCTGAAATCAAGATGTTAGCCAGGGCTGGGTTCTCATTTAGGTCATGAGAACCTCTTTTAGGATACTGGTTACTCTTAGAATTAATTTTCTTTGCACTCTTTACATGTGCCCCTATGCATCGTTAAGTCAGCAATGCCACATCAATTTTTTTTCATACTTTCAATCACTCAAATCTGCATTTTAAGCTTATGTGACCACTTTGGACTCATCTGGATACAGGGGAAACTCCCAACTTTAGGGTCTCCCACAGGGATGGCAACCACCCAAGTACTTGTGCTATCTTTTCCTGCTTTCATAGGTGAATCAGCAGGGTGCTGGATCAGAAGTGGAACAGCACGGGCTTGATCTGTGCTCATATGGGATGTGGGTATTGCAGGTGGTGGTTTAACCTTCCATGCCACAATGCCAGCCTCTGATTAAATTTCTCTGATGCTGATTCACATTAATCATTCTTTTGCTATACCAAATTAGCTTTCTTTTTTTTCCAAAATATATTTTATTAAAATAAATTATAGAAATTTATTTCTGAAAATTACATATACACACATGAAGTATAAATTAAGGAAAATGATTTTAATTATGAGAGCTAAAATTATAAGATATTTTTCATACTTAACAAGATATTATGAGGGCCAGCATTGTGACATAGCAGGTAAAGCGACCACATGTGATGCTGGCTTCCCACATGGGCACTAGTTTGTGCCCTGGCTGTTCTGCTTCTGATACAGGTCCCTGATAATGGCCTGAGAGGGGTGGCAAAGATGACCCAGATGCTTGGGCCCCTGCATGGGAGACCCAGAAGAAACTCATGGCTCCTGGCTTTGGCCTGGCCCAGCTTTGCCTGTTTGTTGAAGCCATTTGGGGAGTGAACAGCAGATAGAAGATCTCTCTCTCTCTCTCTCTCTCTCTCTCTCTCTGTTTCTCCCTCTCTCTCTGTGACTCTCTTTTAAATAAATCTTTAAAATAATATATCACGAGGATAAAAATTGCTGAGAAGCTTCAATCTACTATTAGGAAAAAACTTATGAAAGACTTTGAGTTTAAAAAAAAAACTGAAAATCCTGTCTAATACACCCTTCAGTTATTTGTGCTTCTTAATTTCTTTGAGATATTTAACAACTCTGTAAGTGAAGGAAACTATAAATAATGAAAATTACTCTGACTCTTTTGAAAGAAAAAAGCAGAAGGGAGGGAGGCAGGTGGGGAGGGAATAGAAAACTGAAGATGCAGAAAGATCTTGGAACTTGTGTGTCTCCCTCGTCTTTGAAGACCCTAATGTGACAGTTGTCCTACTTTTTACCTGGAGGGAAGGAATATTACACAGAGAGGGCAAGAGGAACCTGCACACACAGGCCTTGCTGAATTCCTCACAGTTTGTTACCATTTTCCATGTCCTCTTTTTTGTCCTATTGTGCTTCTACACAATTGTCCATTCTTCATCACACATAAGCATAAAAGCATAGATTTCCCTGGTCTTTGTATCTCTCTTTTGAAATTTCCTGTGCCACATAAAACTTTGATGAAATAAGTGTTACACTTTTCTCTTGCTAAATAAAGTGTCGGCCATGAAGTTTTTGATGGGTCAGGAAACTTTTCTCCCCATCAGTTTCCTAGATTACTCTCTCATCTGTTTTATTATATACCAGAAATTTTAATTCCAACTCCTGATAATTGTTGTATAATTTCCTATATCATTATTTAACTCTGATAGTCTTGATGCCTTATGCTTTATCTCCTACCTACATTTTCAGTTTCTTGGGCCAAGTGATCTTTATGTTACCATGTCACATACGATACAAATCTTCAAAATCTGGGCATGTATTATTACTCGAAAGATTTGAATTTTAGATAGGTACTCCTTAGTGGAAACATAAAAAAAAAAAGTGGACAAATTTATGGACATGTAATGTCCTAAGATTGATATCCATTTTAATTATTAGTGAAGCTGTATTTTTATAGCTTGGCTAATTATATTTTCACTACTTATTTAATAATTCTGATTACATAAACATTTAAAAATACCCATTATTTCACATTTCAGTGAATTAATTACTGAGTATAATTTCACAGAAAAAATTTTTCTCAGAGGCTATTATATGACTTAAATGGGCTTAGATACAAGTATTATTAATGGAATTTTAACTCATTTTCCTCACAAGTTATTTAGTGAATTAATGTGTTAGCTAAGTACCACACTTAAACGGAAAGATGGACGGGATTATGCATAAAGGACTTCACAAGCTAACTATGATGAGCCCTCTTGTGACAACCACCACTACTGAGATTAAAATAAAGTTTTATGGAATGAACACAAAATCGAAGAGACTAATTCATACTGAAAGAGAAGTTAAAGAAAGATTAAAAGTGAAAATGCCATTTGAGTTGGTTTCTACATGATGGATTATAGACAAATGAATTTTGCCAGTTGTGCAGTTCATGCACCATGTGATGGGGAAAACAGGGTTGAAGCAAAGCCATACACAGCTGAGCATCTGCCACTTGTGATGTGTCCCCTTGCAGGGAAAAAAATGTCTTTTACTTCATATAAAGACACTACCCTCAATAATTTTAATACCCCAGAGCATTTTTAAACAGCAACACTCATAACATAGAGTACTGTGTTGACTAATAAACAGCAACACTCATAACATAGAGTATTGTGTTGCCTAATAAATAGACAGTCACAATATTTTGGGGGGGGGTAGATTGTGTTGTAGCAGGCAAAGCTACCTCCTGCAATGACAACATACCATATGGGTGCTGGTTCTTGTCCTGGTTGATGTACCGATTTTTCCCTTCTGATCCAGCTCCCTGCTAATGTGCCTGGGAAAGCAGCAGAAGATAACCCAAGTGTTTGGGTCCCTGCACCCATGTGAAAGATCTGGAAGAAGCTCCTGACTTCTGGCGTTGGCCTGTTGCAGCCCCAGCCATTGCAGGGATGTGGGGAGTGAACTAGTGGATGGGAGATCTCTTTCTCCATATATCCAGCACTCACCCCAGTAACTCTGCCTTTCAAATAAATAAATAAATCCTTAAAACATCATAATATTTGGTACTTATAGTACTCTTATTGGATGCATATTTGAGGAAAAAGGGAATAATATAAGTAAAGTCACAGAGATAAGACAGTAAAAAGTTACATAAGGAATGGAGAACTTGATCTGGGTCAAAGAATACTGTTGCAGAACAGAGAGGACACTAGCACAGAATTTAGTGATTATTCTAGACTAGAATAGAGCATGATGTCAGAGATGGTATTCAGAGATTAGATTTCATTCTGTGGGCAATTGCAAGCTGTCCACAAACTTAAATAGGAAATGGTATGATTAAAATTAAAAAAAAAAATGATGTGTAAAGGCTAGCACATAGACATGGATTGAAAGGCAGAGAATGAAGATGGAGATCTCAATTGCAAGGATAATATGAACTCACAGAAAGATAATGAATTAAAATGGGATAGATGAGATTAGGACAGAAATTTTATCATGTGCCATGACACGGATGGGACTGGAGGTCATTACGTTAAGTGAAATAAACCAAGCATAGAAAGACAAATACCACATGATGTCACACATATGGGAGTATAAAAATAATGTGATCTCATAGAAGTTAAAAATATAGAAAATATAACTGTGGCTATCAGGCTAGTTTGGGAAGTGGGAAGGCAGGTACTGAGAAAGGTTGCCTGATAGGTACCAGGTTGTAGTTAGATTGAAATAAGAAATTTTGGGGTTCTGCACAGTATGGTGAGTATTATATTGTTAATTTGCTGCATATTTCTCTACTATAAAAACTAGAAGTAGGATTTTCAGATCTTTTTAACATAAAGAAATGTTAAATGTTTTAAAGGACAAATATATTTATCTTGATTAGACACAACACAAACTATACCTATAAAAATATTACACAATATACTTATTAATATGTTTAAAATATTTAAAAATTAAATGATCCATTTGAAAGACCTTTTTGAAATAGGAAAGCAGATTTTTGGCAATGAGGAATATAGAAGAATGAATTTTTTAACACTGGAGGCTGATTACATGCCGTTTATGTTAATAAGAACAACTAATAATTAGGAAATAGGTTTTGTCAGATGATCTTACTGTCTACTTTTTGGTAATAATTAGTACCTGATATATCCACTTATAAGCTTTGCTTGCTCCCATTACATAAAAAACAAATGTAGTTTCTTACAAATGAAATGCTATTGGATTTCACATGTACCTGACTTAAAAGCTTAAATAAAATCTAAGGGGCACCTACCTGAATTCCTTCATTCTCTTACGTAAATCCTTTTGGATTTTTTCTTCTTGAAGTTTTCTCAGAGAAATCAGGTGTCTCTCTTTTAGGTTAGCCTCTTTCTTCTTGATTCTGTCAACTTTAAGTAATCCTTTGATCAAAAGTGCGCGCTCATTATTTAAGTTCTGAACTAATAAACGTTCTGCAGCCTTCCTTTTTTTTTCTTCCAGAAACAGAGTTCTTCTCCCTCTAACTTTTGCAATGTAGTTGAATCTGGCTTGACAATGTTGTTGCAAACCAATCTGAACTATCTCTTTATCCCTTTCCCTCAGTTTTTGTGCTGCATGCGTTTTTTTATTTAAGTTCTCCTCAACAGTTAGGCTGATCTTTTCCTGGGCAACTTTTGCCATGGCTACCGCTGTTACTTTTTCTTTATGGAACTCTTGCTTCTTTTGCTCTTTGTAGTATTTATAAATATCATTAACTGTTTGGGGTTTTATACCAGCTCCACGTGTTTCAAAAAACTCGTTCCTTAAATTTGTTTCTGACACTGTTTCTTTTTTAATTATTGGCTTTGGATGAGTAGTAGACAATGGCTTTGGGCACACAGGAAGTAAAAGCTGTTTTTTCTCTTTCAATGGTGCATCACTCTTCAATGAACCTGAAGTCTCGATGGGTAATTTCAACACTGACACACTAAAACTGGTATCAACATCTTCACCAGTTTCATCTTCAAGCTCCTTTTGACCTGCATCATACGACAGATAAATATTATACATTATATGAGACGAAGCATACTTTATTCTTGTCAAAAATTTTGAAAGCATATTAATAACATTGATAAGAACCAAGTACTTAACTTCCTAGGAACATTTTTCACACGTTCTTTTTTCTTATTAGGAAAAAATAGATTTTTTTTCAATTCTCATGTTAATGTGATATTAATACAAAGAGAACAGATTCAAAGTAGTTCACAGATATAATTTTAAGAATAAAATGATACTTCCCTTTCTCTTCCCTGCTTCTTACATTCTTTCCTTCTTCCCTCCCTTCCTCCCTCCCTCTATATCTCTCTTCCTTCTTTCCTGTCCTTTCCTTCCTTTTTCTTTTTCTTTCTTCCTTCTTTCCTTTTATTTCTTAGTTTTTGAGATACTCTATTTTAAATGTACGTTATAGTCAAAGACTTAATTGTACATTAAATAACGTGTTCAATAAGTAAAATGGAAAAAGAACCTAGTTCTGTGGGAATACATAAAAGGACTATAAACAATAACCAAATGAAAAAATGACCATTTAACTCATATACAATATATTTTTTAAATAACCACAGATCATTAAAGCTATAGTAGTATATCATTCTTAACCACTGATTTGACAAAAATATAAAACAAAGCTTGGCAAAACTATATTTTCAGCAATGCTGATACACTCAGTCATTTCTTTTTTGCTTTTTTTATTTTTTAATTTTAGCTTCCACATACAAGGGAGAACATGTGGTATTTTCTTTTATGTGTCTGGTTTATTTCAGTCAACATGATGTCTCCATTTGCATTCATTTTGAGGTACATGGTAGAATTCATTCTTTCTTATGGCTAAATAATATTTATAAAATTTCCTTTATACATTCATCTGATGATGGACACCTGGCATAAACATGGTGGTACAGTATCCCTTTGATATACCCTGTTCATGTATTTTGGGTATATACCCAATACTGGGATTGCTGGATGCAAGCCTATTTCTAGTTTTCTTTTTATGATTTTATTTATTTATTTGAGAGGCAGAGTTACAGACAGAGAGAAAGGAATTCCATCTGCTGGATCACTCCCTAAATGGCTGTAAGAGCAGGAGCTGAGCCAGTCCAAAGTTAGTAGCCAGGAGCTTCTTCCGGGTCTCCTATATGGTGCAGGGGCTCAAGCACTCAGGCCATCTTCTACTGCTTTCCCAGGCCATGAGCAGAGGGCTAGATTGGAAGAGAAGTAGATGGGACATGAACTGACAACCACTGTGATGCTGGCACCACAGGCAGAAGCCTACTCTACTATATCACAGTGCTAGCCCTATTTCTAGTTTTTAAAGAAATTTCCATACTGTGTTCCACAGTGGTTGCCTTAATTTACATTCCCAACAACGGTTTATAAAGGTTCACCTCTCTCCATGTCCTCTCTTTTGGATAATAAGCATTCTGACAGAGATGAGGTGAGATTTCAGTGCTGTATTGATTTGCATTTCCCTGATGCCTACTGATGTTGAGCATTTTTTTCATATATTTATTGGCCATTTGTATTTTTGCAGGTTCTTTTATGAGTTAGACTTAATAGAGATACTAGAAAGGAAAATTGATATTAGAATATTTTAATAAAGAAATGCACTCAGTTCCATCCGTGTATGTTCTATTACAATTATTTAACTGTTAACTCTCATAAGAGTTTCTTTTCATTTTTAAAGATTTTATTTATTTATTTATTTGAAGGCAGAGTTACAGGGAGAGAAGGAAGTGACAGAGACACAGAGAGATCTATTCCCTGGTTCAGTGCCCAGGTAGCTGCAATGGCCAAGTCAGGGTCTTATCTAAGCCATGAGTCATACTCCATTCAGGCCTCCCATGTGTGTGATAAGGATCCAAGCACTTGAACTATCTTCTGCTTTCCCACATACATTAGAAAGAAGCTGGATTAGAAGTGGAGCAGCTGGGACTTGAATAAGCACACATATGGGATGTTGGCATGTAGGCAACTACACCATAATGCTGGCACTTCATATCAGTTTCTTACAGAATTTATCAAATTCTCTTTATAGTAAAATTCTTTGTAATAGATCTTAGATATAATACCATGCTAGATATAAGCTCCTTAGAGTAGGGATCATATTTTCTTTAATCTTGTAATCCTAGGCCCTCGACTAATACTTTGTTCAGTGCTGTGTGTGTGTTGTGGAGGTAGTCATGAGCTAATTAAACAGTAGATGCTTGATAAGTAAATTTATTAGGTTAATGAATGGATAAATGGAGAAGTAAATCTGTTCCTCAAGAGAAATATCACTTGTATAGTGATATGAAAAGCTTTGATTTTGGAGACAGTTTGTATGGTTTAAATCCTATTTCTTTTAAAAAATTTTATTAACATAAAGAGAATAGATTTTATGTATTTCATAGGAACAGTTCTAAGAAAAACACCACAGTATTTTTACCAGTTACTAACCATGTGGTCTAGGGCAGTTATTGAATTCACTGGGTTTCAGTTTCCCCACTGCAAATGGATATAATAATGTCTAATTTTAGTGTTCTTATAAAAGTAACTGATTTACAAAAATGTAAAATGTCAACTAAACATGCAACATAAATATTAAAAACAACATCTGAAAAGGAATAAGCTACACATGTTAGTTATTAGTATTATTATTTTTTCAAGATTTATTTTATTTTATTTGAAAGACAGAGTTACAGAGAAAGGTAGAGACAGAGAGAAAGGTCTTCCATCCGTTGGTTGGTTTACTCCCCAGATGGCCACAGCCACCAGAGCTGCGCCGATCCAAAGACAGCAGCCAGCTTCTTCTGGATCTCCCACTTGGGTGCAGAGGCCCAAGGATTGGGCCATCTTCCACTGCTTTCCCAGGCCATAGCAGAGAGCTGGATCAGAAGAGAAGCAGCTGGGACTAGAACCAGCGCCCATATCGGATGCCAGCACTTCAGGCCAGGGCTTTAACCCACTGCGCCACAGTGCCGGCCCCTATTATTATTATTTTAAAATTAGTATATAGAAAACAAGGAACTTGTTATCTTAATTCTATCATGACCTACTTTCAAAAAGCCACATAATTTTAGTTATGATTGGGGAAAATATAGTAAGGCACTTTTGTCACACAAAGTTTTATTTATTTATTTCTTTATTATTTATTTATTTGAAAGGCAGAGTGAGAAAAAGAGAGAGGCAGGTCTTTCATTTGGTGGTTCACTACCCAAACACCTTCGACAGCCAGGCTGGACCAGTTCAAAACCAGGAGCCTGGAACGCCACTTGGATCTACCATGTGGCTGGTAAGAACCCAAATATTTGGGCCATCATCTACTGCCTGACAAGCTCATTAGCAGAAACCTCATTAGCAGAAATTAGAGATGGGACTCTTTCCAATGAAATTTGATATATGATATGGGCACCCCAAGCTGCAATTTAACGCCCTGAGCCACAAAACACACCCTTCATATTAGAATTCTTGAAAACTTGATACTAAGCACCTTTCCTATCTCTCTCTTCTTTTCTGAAGTCAATCCTGAGCATAACTTTAAATACCAATCTCTATACTGAGATATCTCAAATTTGCATTGTGTAAAATTTGGTTTTACAAATTACAAATTTAGCAAATGTTTGTAACAGATAATTTTTGGAGATTCTTAGCAAGCCAATGGATAGAAGACACCCAAGGATGTAAAATTGGAGTGATTCAGTATTTAATATGTGCTTATAAGTAAGTGAAATGTGAAGGAGAAAAAAAAATGTGTGGCCACAACCTCTTTGTTTACTAATTTCTAAAAAAAAAATTGTTTGTAAAAGGATCTGGCATATGTATATGCTCAAGTTTATTATGGAAAACCAGATAATGTCTATCATCTTGGAGAAGTAGAAGATTAATGTTGTGCTGTTTGCAATGTCTTAAGTTAAACAAAGATTCTACTAGAATGCCTAAGACTTGGTATTTACATTATAATAATTGCTTAGCTAAAACTTAGATTGCTAATGCTCTCTGAATGCTGAGGATTGTTCATTACTCTAATCTAAGGACTTGGAAAAATGTCTGATGCATGATAGATTTCCAGTAAATATGTGTCTAATGTGTACTTCTTAGGAAATGCAGATCAGTGCATGGGTATTGCTCACATTGAATAGTGAGTGGACTATTAATAGTAAATTTTTTTAACTTTTATTTAATGAATATAAATTTCCAAAGTACAGCTTATAGATTACAATGGCTTCCCCCCCATACCGTCCCTCCCACCCGCAACCCTCCCCTCTCCCACTCCCTCTCCCCTTCCATTCACATCAAGGATTCAATTTCGATTCTCTTT